TGAGTATCTACTTGGGAGTGTGGTTATAACTAATTCATATTGACACCAGCCTGCCTGGTTGAGTGATCTTCCCTGGAAAGATTCGGCTACACACTGGACTGATCTAGAGGTAGTATTCCCAGATGAGTATAGCAGTGGGGGAGGAGCTTGGGAACTTAGACGTTTCTAAGAGAACAATTATCATGATGTCTCATGGAAGGAGGTTAAAAATAGGAGGGTATTAATGGATAGAAAGTAATGGAAATGCTCGGTAGATTACACATCTTGTTAACATTTTAAAATTATCGCAGTAAAAATATGCTGCAAGCTATGAGATTTTGATCAAAAAGTAAGCTGTATATTTGCAGCTTTGGAGGTAGTGACTTTCTGATGATGAAAAAGAAGTGAGAAAACAGAATGGAGGGGATAGTTCATTAGAAATGAGGAAGTCACAGACACCTGAGTGGCTCAGTTGGTTAAGCGTCCAACCTTAGCTCAGGTCATGATCTCACAGTTTCTGAGTTCGAGCCCCACGTTGGGCTCTGTCCTGACAGCTCAGAGCCTGGAACCTGCTTTGGATTCTGTTTCCATCTCTCTCTCTGCCCTTCTCCTGCTCTCTCTCTCTCTCACTATCTCTCTCTCAAACCTAAATAAACATTTTAAAAAAGAAAGAAAGAAATGAGGAAGTCAGGTAACTGAGAGATGACACCGGACAGCTCATCCAAATGAGTGTTGAAATCAGTGAGCAGAATGACAGGAAGTGTGATGGAAAGAAAAACAAAGCGAAGTGCTCAAGTCTTCTGCATGCGGGGAATGACCAAGCACTTGGCAGATGACTGCAGATGATAGAGCCAGATGGCAGAAGCCTCAAAGGAGCAAGCGTTTTTATTTTATTTTATTTTATTTTATTTTATTTTAATCTTATTTATTTATTTATTTATTTATTTATTTTACAACTGGGGTTGGGAGAGAATTCTCTGGAAGTGGCCCTGGGGAAGCAGAAGCCATCTCCTCCTGCTCCTACAGAACAAGCAACTTGAGCGTGTTGCGGGGGAAGCCGTTTGATCAGAAAATGAAATTAAATACAGCAGCTTTCAGGAAAGGCAAGGAGGAGGGGAAAACATTCTGAGAGAAGACTGTTCTTTGAAAATGGGATAAGGGTTGCTAAGACTGTAGTTTTCAAGGTATAAAAGAACAAGTAGGTTTCTTTTATTATCAAGAGGAGATCTTCTGGGGCGCCTGGGTGGCTCCATCAATTGGGCGTCCAACTTCGGCTAAGGTCATGATTTCACAGTCTATGGATTTGAGCCCCACGATGGCCTCTATGCTGACAGTTCAGAGCCTCTAGCCTGCTTCGGATTCTGTGTGCGTGTGTGTCTCTCTCTCTGCCCCTCCCCCACTCATGCTCGGTCTCTCTCTCAAAAGTAAATATTAAAAAAAAAAAAAGGAGATCTTCCATTGGTGGGGGGAGGGGGACAAAGGTCTGCTAAGAACTTGTAGCTGTAAAGCCTATCTTCCATTATTCACCTTCCCATTATATCACCATCATGTTGGATTTAGGGGATGCTGTATGCCCTTTCCAGTCTCGCCAGAGGCTAACATCATAACTCTTTTTTTTTTTTATGTTTTATTTATTTCTAAGAGAGAGAGAGAGAGAGACAGCGTGAGCAGGGGAGGGTCAGAGAGAGAGGGAGTCACAGACTGAAACAGGCTCCAGGCTCTGAGCTGGCGGTCAGCACAGAGACCGACACGGGGCTCAGACCCACAAACTGCGAGATCAAGACCTAAGCGAAAGTCAGACGCTTAACCGACTAAGCCACCCAGGCACCCCTAACATCATAACTCTTAACTTTCACAAAGCACACCTGAGACCATTGGAATCCATTCATTTATTTCTCCTTCCCTTCTCTTCCTTCCTTCCCTTCCTCCCTCCCCCGGCCCCTCGATTTTTTTTCTTTTCCTTAATCATTTCCTTAGTCTCTCATTCAGTGAGACTTTCAAAGCCCACAAGAAAATAGTTATAAAGTAATCTGCAGCAAGATGTTGTTGCTTATAAAGAGTTGTTGTTACTTGGGGCATCTGGGTGGCTCAGTTGGCTGAGCGTCCAACTTCGGCTCAGGTCATGATTTCACGGTTCATGAGTTCGAGCCCCATACTGGGCTCTGCTGACAGCTCAGAGCCTGAAGCCTGCTTCAGATTCTGTGTCTCCCTCTCTCTGCCCCTCCCCTGCTCACGCTCCGTCTTATTCTCTTTCAAAATTTTTTTTAATTTAAAAATTTAAAAAAAAGAATTATTACTCAAAATCAACTCAAATTCTGTATAGGGTTGCTGACCTATGTAGTTCTTTTAAGTACTTTTAGATGCTGTACCCTACTATAATACTTTTGAGCATTTCTCAGACCTAAGTGTTACCCAAGAAAGGAGGTCCTGAGAAAGATACATGCTCCTTTTCAAGATTTAGTTTCAGTCTGTAGGCCTGTGTCTCCCCCTAAATAATTGACAATAGGGATGCCCAATCATGTTAGGGAAAACCTACCACCTGCGACAACGGCATCTGAATCTGAATCCTAGCCGGATCAGAATTCTAAACCTAATATCCACACTCACACAGAAGCTAAAGGTCAGGTTATTATGTAGAAAATGGCAGATGTCATATTGAGACCATATATCCCAACTAATCCCTAGTAATAGGCTGTTTCTATAGTGTATACAGCATTCACTTTGCTATAATTTTGTTCTATAAAAGGATTTACCAACTGTATTCTAAATATGTTTGCAAAATTAAATACACAGGGCTGGAAACACATGGCATTTTCCCCAGTGTAAGACATGTGTCTGCCTAATATATGAGCATGTCAACATTGAGCTTTTAACCACAAAGTATATTTTTATAAATTAAACTAATGGTAAATTAAAGAGGAGGGGAAATAAAAGTAATGCCAGCTCAGTGCTGAGTGAATTAAAGCTCAGTCCAATGACATAGCCTTAATTAGGTTTCTTTTAAGACGTTGCACATCTACCTAAATGCACACCTATAAAGATGAGTAGCAAAACAATAACAAATTAGCCCTCCATTTTTTTTAAAGCAGCAACTTAAATGAACTGCAGTATTTGTAGCCTGTCAAAGATAGTGGGAAAATTTTCTTATTGTCAGTGACTGTATAACACAGTAGTCCTTGAGAAAATATTCCTAAAATATTCACTTGAGAATCTCTCTGCCAAGAATTCTGAGGAATAACAGAGAAGCAGAAGAAAGGGAAAGAAAGAAGACATAAACATTCGTTCTTCACACTCCCACAGCAGATGGTACTTGTGGTAGGGGGTCACTGAACTGAGCTGTGATGTCAGCAGTCAGGATAATGAAGGCACGCAAGAGGTGGAGAGCATACCAATGACCCACTGGCCTTCCACAAAGATCTCTGGTGGTCAGGCAAGTAGCAGAGAAGTTTACTTAAGGATCATCTCAGTGCTCAATGTCACTAACAACTTGGAAACTGAGACATATGTGATCTCTGCCTCCTAGCGCATTTAGTATTTTTCTTCTCCAATAAGATTACTTAATCCAATATGACAGCTATTAAGTGGCATCTATCATTTGCCAGGCAATAGGATTGTTAGATACATAGAGGGAAAATGTTTGATCCTCAAGGAGCCTTGAACTGAATGGGAGTCATACCAGCCAATCCAATCAGCACATTGCAAAAATGGGTGTAATCATAATGGCGGTATGCCAAAGGCTCAACAGAATTATGAGATTGCCTAAGAGAAGTGGGGAATGAGAGGTCAGTGACAGGGAAGGCTTCCCATATTTATGATTTTTGAGCTGACTCTTCAAGGAGACATAGGAGTTTGCTAGGCAAGGGTAGAAGACATTCTAGGAGAAATATAACATATAAAAGCAAGAAATATAAAATAGTACGGCCTTGCCACGTGGCCTCATGATTCAATCAGAAAACAGCACAGGGGCGCCTGGATGGCTCAGTCGGTTAAGCGTCTGATTCTTGATTTCAGCTCACGGTATCATGAGCTGATGATCACGGTACCAGGTCACAGTATCATGGTTCATGGGATCCAGCCCCATGTAGGGCTCTGTGTGAAAAGCCTGCTTGGGATTCTCATTGTCTCTCTCTGCCCGTCCTCTGATCACGCACGCACGGGTGCACACACTCCCTCTCTCTCAAAATAAATAAGTGAACTTAAACAAAGAAAGAAATCAAACAGAAGGGTTAACTGAAAGCTTAACCAAGTGACTGTTTCTGGAAATAGTGGGCAAGGTCAAGGGCATCAAGAAAGGATGGTGAGGCGTTCAGAGTTAGCAACAGTGAGAAGCCATTCACCACCTGGCCAAAAGAGACAGGAAAGAGAATGGGATTACTTGATCCCATGGGAGACAGGAAAGAGACAGCAAACAGAATGGGAGCCCATGAGAAAGGCACTACCCAACGGGAACCTTGACCAGAAGTAGGAACACAGCAAGCCAGGGTCTGGAGGAGACTAATATTAATAATTCTATCAGATGCTTTTTAAATTTTTTATGATTATGTTTATTTATTTTGAGAGAGAGAGAGACAGACAGACTGTGAGTTGGGGAGGGACAGAGAGAGGGAGACCAGCGTCTGAAGCAGCTCCAGGCTCTCAGCTGTCAGCACAGAGCCCGACGCGGGGCTTGAACTCACAAACCATGAGATCATGACTTGAGCAGAAGTCGGACACTCAACCGACTGAGCCACCCAGGTAGGTGCCCCTCTATCAGATGCTTTAAAATAAAAATAAATAACCTTCAGTGTGAGATAACATACCACGTAAGCGCTTATATCTGTCTGAAAATAGCTGCACTGAATGTTCTGTCAGTAGATGAAACCGGCTTGCTTCTTCGTCTCAGAATATTTTTGTTCACTTAAGACACTTGCTACTCGGTTTGTAAATTCTAGTGAAGTCACATGACATCACCTTCAGATTTTATTACGGTGGGAGCGGAACAACTTGCTCTTTCACAACCTGTTTTTCTATTTATTTTTCAGGTCAATAACGCGATCTTACTACCGCAACTCAGTTGGTGGATTTTTAGTATTTGACATTACCAACCGACGATCTTTTGAACACGTGAAAGATTGGCTGGAAGAAGCCAAAATGCACGTACAGCCATTTCGGATTGTGTTTCTGCTGGTGGGACATAAATGTGACCTGGCTTCGCGACGCCAGGTTACCAGGGAAGAAGCTGAAAAGCTGTCGGCGGACTGTGGTATGAAGTATATAGAAACCTCAGCAAAAGATGCCACAAATGTGGAGGAATCCTTTACGATCTTGACCAGAGACATATACGAACTTATCAAGAGAGGAGAGATTTGTATTCAAGATGGCTGGGAAGGGGTCAAAAGCGGTTTTGTTCCAAATACTGTGCATTCTTCTGAGGAAGCAGTAAAACCCAGGAAAGAGTGCTTCTGCTGACTTGGGCCGGCCAAGGATGGTGGACAGATGGGCATCATCCCAGCCTGAATACCAACGGTAACAGCAGCAGGAGATGCCATGAGAGCATTTAGGAAACAGTTGTAAGCCCGCGCTAATGCTATTTTGTGAGGTGTTTGATTTGGAGCGCTATGCTTGCTGGTTACACTAGGGATTGGGTGTTTTGCTCAATTATCAGGCAAAGCAGACAACCTGTGCTTGAAACTGGAGTGTCTACCGGATGATGCCCGTTCTTACTTTGTTAGCGCATAGCTGACCGTAAAGCCCACATATATCAATATTACTCATTTTTCTTGACAGGTTGAAATGGTTTTTTTGTGCATATATGGCCTAGTCGAAAAGATTTCATCAGGAATTACATTTTCCTGAGCTAATCTGTTAACACTGAATAGCAAAGTGGATTTAAAAGTGAAGGGTTAAGAATATAAGCCAGAAAGAGTTTAAAACTTAAAAAAAAAAAAAAGTGCAGTGTTTGCTTACAAAGTTAACAATCTCAGAGGTATCATCAACTAGGACAAAAATAACTATTCCATATTTAATGTACCAGGTTTTTAACTATTCTTTGAAATATGTATCCTCCCTTAATTTACCTGATCATAAAAAATAAGTTTTATACTCATTTTTGTTCTCTGATTTATTGCTCTTGATAGATTTATGTTTTGTAAAGATATCTAAAGATCCAAGCAAAATATTTTATCGCAAATATTTGTAAAAATAAAAATGAAGGATCGTTCATCAGCAAGTGTTTTGATGTTATGGTATATTGTCCCTATTTAGAAAAGGAAAATTCATTTATATACCAACATTTTCAAAGAAAGTAAGTGCAATTTACCTTGAACTATTGTCAAAATTATCAATATAGGTAAATATGGAATGTTTTTAGTGATTTTTTTTTTTTTTTTTGGTCTGAGTAAGTTTCTGAATTTCTCTGTTCTGGGACAAAAAAAAGTATAGGAAAGATTTTTCTGGACAAGGAAGATTGGTTAAATGTCTGATATATTTAGCATTCAAATTGTATTTCAGTAAAATTAATGATAGAATAATGAGTTAAGGCTATAAAATGACTTTTGGGATTTGAGTTAAGGCTATAAAATGACTTTTGGGCTTTCTAACTTTTAACTAATTGATTAAATTCCCCTCCTGGAAGGGACATTTTGATGACAATATTGTAGAACATACATTTCTGTTCAGGAAGCATTCATTCCTGATCACAAAGGGACACCAAATGCAGCCATTTTTTGGAATGATGAGGTTTACTGTTAACCTTTAGTAGCTTCATTTGCTTGAAAACCAAAGTGATATGGTAGAAAGAATATTTAACGAGAAATCAGAATACCTGGGTTCTAAGCTTGCCTTTGCTGTACCACTACCTGAACACAAGTGAGTCACTTAACCTCACTAAGCATCTGTTCTCTTAACTGTAAGATGAGGCGAATAACCCCATTTATCGTGTTTCATGGACCAGTTTTGAGAATCAAGTGAATCATGTGAAAAAGCTTTGTAAATAGAGAAAGCATTATGCAAATTCGAGCTTGGTGTCAGCTCCGCATGGGCGCACCATTGTATTCACAGTGGACGAGAATGTTGTTTTCTCCCATTCTTTCCCATTTCCGCATTCTGCAGAGGGAGCAGGCTTTCCTGGACCTGAGGGCTCTCTTGGTTTCACGGCTCGCCCGTGGCCTCTTGCCCTGGGACACTGCTCCTCTCAAGGGGAAATGACAGGGAGGCAGATCCCAGGAGATGTGATTCCATCAGGAGTCGTGTTCGAATGTGTTTTTGTGCATCATTGAAGTCGATATTTAATTATATTTTAAATAATTGTACATTTTCTAGGTTCATAGAAGTATTTTTAATAGTGCTTATGGAGAGAAGAATACAAATTATAGCATCACCATAAGATTTTGAATAGTTGTATTGTCAACATTTTCTTGATCTCCTTGTATTAATTTCACTCATGTGAGTCCACACTGTCCCCCCAAATGTGACGCAATTTATTTTCACTGCTACAATTTTATTTTTTATTTTTACTTTTTTTTAATATTTTTATTTATTTCTAGGAGAGAGAGAGAGAGACAGCGTGAGCAGGGGAGGGTCAGAGAGAGAGGGAGTCACAGACTGAAACAGGCTCCAGGCTCTGAGCTGGCAGTCAGCACATAGCCCGACGCGGGGCTCAAACCCACGAACCGCGAGATCATGACCTCAGCAAAAGTCAGACGCTTAACCGACTAAGCCACCCAGGCGCCCCTTTCACTGCTACAATTTTAAATCTTACAATTTCCCATCATTCCGAAATGGCACCAACTCAAAAATTGGGTATCTAACAACAGTTTAAGGTTCAGGCAACTGTGCCTACTTGTAAAGTTAAACAGCTAAAATATAAAACATGATTTAACTTCCAGTGGACACCCTTTATAACACTAATGGTGGGACAAGGCTAACATTCAGGCTAAAGGGTCTGATGTTTTCTAAGACTTAGAATAGAACGAAGGAGGCAAAAGAAACCAATGGAAATGCAGGGCCCCCAAAAGTTGATACTTAACCAAGGTCACACATGAGCAGAAGCAAGTCTAGATCTCTGGTTTTCCTTATACCTGGGTTGGGGTTCTTTCCATTACCATGCTCTGTCAGGCGTGTGTGTGTGTGTGTGTGTGTGTGTGTGTGTGTGTGTGAGAGAGAGAGAGAGAGAGAGAGAGAAAGAAAAAGGGAAATGTGATCTAACTGAATCCACAAAATACTAAAATTGGGCCATATCATTTTGAGGTAATGGAAGGGTGGTTTGTGGTACAACAATATTAAAATGAACAATAACTATAGAGATCTGAGTTCTTACACAAGATTGCCAAATGTCTATATAACCTTAGCCAGATATCTTTATCCATATAGGTATATATATAAAATAACTGAGACCTATTTTCTTACACATCATTATGGAGAATATGGATAGTGACACCAAAATATTTGGTCAAAATATTTGCTCCAGGCAAAACATTTTGAGTAAGTGTCTTAGTAGCCAGGTATACTCGAATCAGATGTCATTGAAATTATTTAGTTTTAATTATTCAATTTAAATTTAAACCTATTTAAGTTTAAAATTTAAAACTAATGAATGATGTAGCTAATTACTAAGTATTTTTAATAAACATGAAGGAAATGAGAAACTATCTGATCATATGATACACTTGTCCCTGACAAACGCTTCTCATCTTGAACTGTATTAACACATTGAACGCATATAGTAATGTAATGTTCATTAATTGGTAAGCTGAAGCCAAAAGGATTTTGTAAACAGAATGCTTTTAAATGTGGCCTTTATGTACATAATAGTAGCAAACAAGATTTCTTGGAGAGTTTGCACTAGATTTCCAACAGCCTCAAAGTACTCCATGATTGTTTTTAGGGGCGACCAAAGCAGCCTTTATTATTGTTAAGAAGACTTTCCCAATCTATTTATCCAACTACAGTTTTCAAAAACTGAATCTATAGATTAATGAAATCCTTTTAAGAGCGCTTTTGATTTTATATTGCCTTTGATTCAATCAAGTACAAAGCTTCATGGACTTCAAAGAGTGCACTATATTTGAATAATTTCCTTAGGTCTGACTGAGTGACAAGAATGTGAAAGACTAAAGACCCATTTCATAAGCTAATTCATTGGTTCCCCAGTAACTGCCTGGAGAGATTTAGTTGGAAATGCAAAGGAAACATGTAATCTTTAAGGGGAAAAAAGAAGAAGAAAGACTATAAAGGCTTTAAAGTTACATCCTTTGTATTTTAAAATAGAACATGCTCCCCGGAAGAAGCTAGCTCTTGGAAATTCCACAGCTGATAAGAAGTCATCTCTGCTTCCGAATCAAAATCTTTCTAAATCCCGATTTTTTCACTAAACTTCCCTGAGCAACCAATCTCCACTCGATACTAAAATAACTAGCAAACCATCTCCCGAACTTGGGAGAACCACCGCATGACTTGGTGTTTCGATAATCCTAGTGACTGATGACAGGACACATCATCTGCGCTGAGCTGTGACAATCTGTATCAATCATTACAGATGCTGGTCTGCTCATTACGCATAATCATGATAGGGAGTAAATGAAGAGAAAAGAAACCATTTTAGGATTATTTTTAAAGTTGATGTTCCTTATTGTTATCTCTCTGGGTAAATTTTTGTCTTTTTTTAGATTGTGCCTAAAACATTGTCTCATTGACGCAATCTTCGGTGATTCACCATCAATGGTTAGTATGTTGAATCAATCCTATTAAACGTGGATTCCTTATACATGGTTTTAATTTACACATTCTATGGAGAAACGTGTTTTGCTACAGTCCTCTCTTGCCATTGTTTTTTAGAATGACAGCCAATGGAAGAAAGACATGGTTTACGTTTTTTGATGTATGTTATGAGTGTTACTTGATTTTAAATAATGAATAAAAAGAATGAGAACTATGCTTGTCACGAGGTTGTTACCTTATTCATCTTTGGGGAACCATGTTTCAGGGTGATTTCAAAGCAGAAACAACCACTTACCTGCAATGACATGCGTCTGTGTGTGTGTGTGTTTACAAATGAAGTGCAAATAAGAATCAAGAGATCTGAAATCCTATTTATTTTATTTAATACCCTGGTGAAGTGTGAGGCAGACCCCATGATCAAACACGTATATATGTGCAGCAAAATGTATGAATATTTACATTAAAAAAATGCCTGTAAATAGCCTATCACCAATTAAGGTCAGATTGTTTGCTGCCAAATGAGTTATCAAAAGAATTGTAGACTCCAGGGCTTTTTGGCTTTCCGAATTACTTTAAAAGATCATAGTCTCTTATTATGCCTTAAGACATAATTCAGAATTTGTGACCTTTTTCTAGTAAGTTCATCATTGTCATGCTTTAGCCTCACACATAGCAAGAGCTTATTAAATTTTAAATTGAGCTGTTCAGTCTCACAAAAAATTTTATAACTTCCGCATATATAACCAGTTATACATGTAAAATACTTACAGCAGTGCTTTGCACATAGTAAGCACTTGATAAATGTCCTTTTATTTTGTTTTTAGTGTTTTTTTTTTTCTTTAAAGAGAGAAAGAGCACGAGCGGGGGAGAGGAGGAGAGAATCCTCAGCAGACTCTATGCTGAGCACAGAGCCTGACGTGGGGCTTGATCCCACCACCCTGGGATCATGACCCGAGCTGAAGCCAAGAGTCAGAGGCTCAACCGACTGAGCCACCCAGGCGCCCTTTTAATATTATCCTTATAACGCCAAATTGCCAAGAAGCCAGTTTTAATCCCCAGCATGCCAGACACTAACTGTCGATAAAGGCAATCTTACAGATCATTGTAAGTGGTCGTGACTCTTTGACATGACGATTCTCAGAGTTGGGCGAATGCTCTAGCAGGCAAACAGAAGATGATACAGCTCTCAGGGAAGGCGGGCGACACCGACAACCCCTGACCAAATGGACAGGGACTCAAATGCGTGTAGCCCTCATGTCTCAACAGCTGTGCTGGAAACAGTCATTACCAGAGCGGTGAGTGTGTGTGCCGTGTGGTAAGGACCGTGGGCCAAAGGATCGGGCTTCCCAGTTATGTATAAGATGATTATCAGTAGCATTGTTTTTTAAATAGATTTTTTGGAAATAACTTTATTGACATAATTTACATTACAATGTACCTGCCTAAGATATATTATTAGGGGACCTGGGTGGCTCAGTCAGTTAAACGTCTGACTTCGGCTCAGGTCATGATCTCACGGTTCGTGGGTTCAAGCCCCGCGTCAGGCTCTGTGCTGACAGCTCAGAGCCTGGAGCCTGCCTCAGATTCTGTGTCTCCTTCTCTCTCTGCCCCTCCCCTGCTCACACTCTATCTCTCTCAAAATAAAATACATAAAAATTTTTTTTAAAAAGATGTATTATTAGATTGGGGCGCCTGGGTGGCTTAGTCGGTTAAGCGTCCGACTTTCGCTTAGGTCATGACCTCGCGGTTCGTGGGTTCGAGCCCCGCGTTGGGCTCTGTGCTGACTGCCAGCTCAGAGCCTGGAGCCTGTTTCAGCGTCTGTGACTCCCTCTCTCTCTGACCCTCCCCTGCTCACGCTGTCTCTCTCTCTGTCTCTCCTAGAAATAAATAAAACATTAAAAAAGAAAAAAAAAAGATGTATTATTAGATTATTTTTTTTTCTTCTTAAAAAATTTTAATTTTTAATGTCGGCTATGCACTGACAGTGTGAAGCCTCCTTGGGATTCTCTCTCCCTCTTCTCTGCCCCTGCCCTACTCATGCACTCTCTCCCTCTCTTTCTCAAAAGAAATAAACTTAAAAAAAAAAAAAAAGAGTTTATGAATAACTCTTCCTGGGGCAGGGCAGAAAGAGAGGAAGACACAGAATCCAAAGCAGGCTCCAGGCTCTGAGCTGTCAGCACAGAGCCCAACGTGGGGCTCGAACCCATGAACTGTGAAATCATGACCTGAGTCGAAGTCAGCTGCTCAACTGACTGAGCCCAGGAACATTCTCTATAGTATGGACAGAAATGCTTTGTTTTGAGTTGAGATTTTTTTCTTATAGCCAGTTATAGCTTGTGTGTTACCTTTGGTTGTAAAGTTTTCATTTTACTTCATATCTTCTAGGATTTATGTCTTGATTAGGAATTTCTTCCCTAGCCAAAAATTATACACACTGTCCTACACTTGTATTTTATGTTTGTACATTTGTATGTCAGAACTTATTTGTACATGTGTCACGTAGGTATTTTTCCTGATTAGTCCATTGTTCCAAAGTCATGTCTTCCTTTCTCCAAACATTTGAATTAACACCTTTATCACAGAAGATTTGCACATCTACATTTTTTTGCTCTCTCTGTATCTATACAGAACCTGTTTCCAGACTTCAGTTCTAGTGATTATTCGTCTGTTGTTGAACTAATACCACACTTTTGTTTATTGAAGTTTTTTAAAAAATATTTATTTTTAAGTAATCTCTACACCCAATGCTGGACTCAAACTCACAACCCT